CCCTCCCACCCCTCCAGGCTACCAGGGTCTGGCTCTGGGGGATCTTGGCCTCACAGACGGAGTAGTAGGAGGGCCAGGAGGTCTCCCCAGGCCTCCTCATCTCAGACCTCCAGACTACAGCGTGGCGCTGCAGAGGAGCAAGCTTCTGCAGAGCCCCGGAGCGGCAGGCAATCTGGCGGAGGCTCGGAGGCTGGCTGCTAACCAGGGCCTCTCCAGACCGCCCAGCATCTGCCTCCCAACACAGGAGCAAGCTGACAGTGAGGACGGTACGTCTCCTGACGTTATCGGTGTATTTATAAAAAGCAACTTCACCTCCAAAGTAGGAACTTCAGCCCCTCTGGAATAAGAAACTACCTCTAATCTCTAAAACAGTACTTTAAATCTAACACGTTATAAGTTTGCACTGAACTTATATTAAATAAGCAGATTGAATATGAGTAAAAGAAAGAAAGAGAGAGAGAAATGTAGTATAAAGGAAAGAAAGTGAGAATGAAAGAAGTATATTTGATAGAAAAAGGGAGCAAAGTGAGAAAATGGGGCAAAAAAATGAATTAAAAAAATATTAATAGAAAAGAAAATGTGCCAAAACTAAAGAAAAGAGCACAGATACAGGAGAACAGAAAAATGAAATAGAAATAAATACATGAGTAAGACGGACAGACAGAGCCAAGAGGAAGAAAAAAGAGAGAAAGGAAAAGAAGAAACTCAGAGAAAGAATGAAGGATAGGAATAAAATCAAAGACTCAAAGAAAAAAGAAAGGAAGAAAGTCGTATAATACAGTAAAGGAAAAAATAAATGAATAAAATCTAAGAAGTCAACAAAGAAAGAAAGGAAGAAAGAAAGGAAGAGATTTAACTCAGAGAAGGGATGAAGGACAGGAATAAAATCAAAGACTCAAAAAAAGAAAGAAAAGCCAATAATGAAGTCAAAGCAAAGAATAAAATCAAGAAGTCAACAAAGAAAGAGAGAAAGAAAGGAAAAGAAGAAACTCAGGGAAGGAATGAAGGACAGGAATAAAACCAAAGACTCAAAGAAAAAGAAGACAGAAAATCCCATAATGAAGTAAAAACAAAAAATATAAAATGAAAGAAGTCAACATAGAAAGAAAGAAAGAAAGAAACTCAGAGAAGCAATGAAGGATAGGAATAAAACTTTTAAGGCTATTATCAGCACCATTACCACTCTAATGAACCCTAAAAACCCTCTTTTTTTCCAATGATAAGAAGTAAATAGGATGGTAATTCACCAGTTGTCCTCCTCTTAGTCAGGTCAAACGTCATAACTGTGATTATTTTCAAACTGAGTGGTGAAGCACTGAAAATGTGGAAGAATTGATCAATAATTCCAGGCCCTATTCTGCCCACTGGTGTTTGATTATTCTTTCATACTTTTGCCGACATGACTCTCCAACAGATAGGATTTAAATTAAAGTCCATGCAGCATTAAAGAGGTCTCTGAGAGTCTAAAATTGGACTCTGTGAACCCTGCAGGAACCCCGCTCGCAGTATTCAAAGTATTCAACTCAAAACTTATGAATTCCTCGTCAAACATCTCTCTTCTCTCTTTTCTGTTGCAGATGAACAAGTGTCAGCGGTGTAGAGATGCTGACTCACACACACACACACACACACACACACACACACACACACACACACACGCACACACGGACCAAGTGGTGTTGATCAGGCTTTGGACTGAGATAGCAGCCTGTCGTCATCACACATCAGAGCACATTTTCCAAGCCTTGGACCATAATGCACCTGTGTTGACTGGAGGAGGGGGTCAGTGGGACCTCTCTGCTCCTCCGTGGACTCGTACAATCACCTCTTTTTAAGCCCATTTCACAAAACAGTGCAGAAAAGAGCAATCGAAGACACTTTTTAAAGAAAACTCTTGAACAAAGCAGAAGAAGGTGGTCGACTGATGTGAAATACGGACGAATCGAAGAAGGAAAGAGTGACTATGAAATAATGTCTCATGAGAAGAAGTTAGCCTCCTTGGAAACAGACCATTTACCTCCATTTTGTGCTCTTCAAGGGTGTTTTTCCAGTTTTTTGGGGGGTTGTTTTAAGATGTACAGATCATTTTTCTCTTCTTTCTTTGCATCTCTGAGCTTTGTGATGTTTTTCAGCAAGAGAGAGAGAGAAAGAGCAGACAAAGGGATTCAACGGAGTCTTCGGTTCTGTGATAATTAAGACAAACTTTCACTCTTGGGTTGTTGTTTTTTTTAAATTTAGATTTAAATTCACTTCTTTTGCTGTCAGCTTGAAAAAAGATGAATCTGGACAAATAAGAGACAGGAGAAACCCTCGCTTTGACAAGTAAAACCATTTTGCACATGAATGCGCCACAGACTGAGCATCATCAGTCGCGATATTTAAACTGCTGGCTGAATTTTTTAGGAAAAGCCCCTTCACGTGTTTTCACTCCTTATCGTCATTTTTAGCCGAATAGACATGAAAAGACAAACAAGCAGCGTCTCTCAGGCGGTTCAGCGTCCACGTCACGCCCATCAGCCGCCTGGCCGCCTCTCTTATTGCTCGTTGAGTCTGACGCGAGGTACTTTAGCGGCATGCTGCCTCCTGGATGTTCTATAAAAAAACTGTATTATGACTTGTTTTTAATGAGCTGAAGAACAAACGCCTCGCTGCTTCCTGTAGTGCAAAACGCCGTTATTGCAGCAGCTATCATAAAACGATAAATTAGCACTGTGTGGTCGCGCAGCGTGCATGCAAACACACACACACACACACAACACACAAAAGAAATGACAGTGTTTACACCGACGCTTACACAGGTTTTGTTTACAGTGTTTATTAGACCAGTTGTCTATTGATTTACAAGCTGAAATGTTTAAGCGTAATGCTCCAGGTTTATTTAACCTTGTAAATTTGTTTATAATGCAGCAGGAATGTGAGATGCAGCATAAAATTTAACTATGTGCTCACGGTGTACCTCTCATATCAGTTTTTTTTTTCTTTTTGCGTCTTATTTAAAAGAAAGAGCAAGAAAACAAGTGGAAAGGTCGTCGTGTATTTGATCACCTGGTTTGCATCTCGGTTCCCTGTGCATAGTACTTTTGTAGAATATTTAAAGGATTTGCTTGAAAATAGTTTATTTGTATGAAAAACAGAAGCAAATATGTACAGTCTGAGTAACGTCTGAGGGGACGTTGTGTTTTCTGCAGTGCAGCAGGGGTGTAACTGGAATCGTCTCTTTTCCTTCTCGTCGTCTGTCTTGCGCTCCGTGACGCTTCGTTTCGTTTTCGTTTTGTTTTTTCGCCACACAAAGACTTGAAATGAATGATGCTAATATATACACGGCATATATATGAATTTATACATATATTTTTTGTTGTTTCTTTGCCATAAATTAATATGAACTGATCATGTATAGACGAGTAAAGAGAGTCCTCTATAAAGGCTATTTTTGAATATTTTGTTATAAGAAATAATCCGAGGTCGTGATCGCCCTGCGTCTGTCTTTGGGCAGAAGTCTTTTAAGAACTTCTTCTAAATTTTCTCCTCTTTTATTATTTTTTTTTCTATGTGACTTGTTTTCTCTCCTCACACTCACGGTTGTTGGTGCCATTTCTGCTCTGTCTACGATTGTAATTGCTGCTGTGTTTTGGGATATGACTGCTTGCGTGTTTGAGAGTGTGCGTGCGTGTGTGTGTGTGTGTTGTGGAATCAATTTTGCGAAGTTCTAATCACCACAGCGTTTTCTTTATAATCCCATTTTGATTCAGCACATAAGGACAGGCTCTGAAGTCATTTTCAGTAAAAGCCCTCCTTAGTTTGCAGCTTTGATCGCTCCTGTGGGTCTCTGAGTTTGACGGCACAGGGCTGTTTTATTCTCACTCAGGCTGGATGATTGAAAGGTCTTTTGGATGCCATGATATCTCAGTCTGTTTGAATTGATCACAACAAGTCCTGCCATGGTGCCACGTCTAGTATCTACACTTTTAGTCCTGTAAACTCAGCAGGACTTTGTTTCTCCTCACTGATGGATTTCACTTTACCTACTGTGACTCTCTCCCCAGTCTCCATAAAACAAAAGTAGAGATGTTGAAACAGACTGAGTCAGAAACTGACAACTCCTCTTTTTTATTTGCACAACTGTATTCCTCAGATCCTGAACCATAAGTCAGTATTAATTCCTGCACACACGATTTTAAAATAGCTCTTTTCTGGAGAAGGAAATCATTTATTTCCTCGTGTGTGTGCGCTGTTATCGCTCAAATATGCTAATTTTCTTTTTTCATTTCAGACTTATTCACACTTTACAGTGTCCTACTCGACAGCAGAGTAGGTTCCTCTCTTTCATGAGTGTTTTTAACAAACATAAATCAGGACAGGATGGTTTTCACCTCTCCTGTCACCTAGGATCTAAAATATCCGCCTCCCTCCCCTCTCTGTGTCCCGTCATGTTTTCTGGAGGGGTGTGAATGTGTGTTATGTCGACATCTTTTGGCATTACAGCAGAAATGCACAACAATAAGCTTCGATGTGGTGAGTGTGCTGCACAATCTGTACAAAGAGGTATTAATATTATTATTATTAACGTGGTCTGTGGCTTCAAGTTTGCTTTACACTTCTCATAGCTGTTGTAACTTATGTCTTTTAGAAAGACAACATGATTTTGCTCGTACGCTTTTTATGTATTTTTTACGAGTGATTGTAAATAGTTGTTATATTTTTGTTTAAGAGAATGTGTAAAATGGAAAAAAATACCTTTTATTTCTCCAAGTCTACTGATATGAATTTGGACGATGAATAAAATGTAAAGCAGAAACTGTTTTGAATCTGTATTAATGCTGTGACTCGTTTCCTGCAAAAGACTTAGTTATTTTTTTCCGTTACTCCAGTGTTGCAGTGTCACTGTTTTAGTCCACATTTAGATATCTTTTATTCAGAGAACACTAAGACACTCAGAGTCCCTGAGGGGGGAGTCATCTTGCCTCAAGTGATCCCCCACCTTTTCCTCTAAGCTACTGTTAGACTTACACTTGTCATTTAGATCAGAGGGTGTCAAACTTTTGAGTTCGTGACCCCAGAAAAAGCAGAGTCAGAGATTGGTGACTGAAACAGCTCCCTCTCTCTCTCTCTCTCTCTCTCTCTCTCTCTCTCTCTCTCTCTCTCTCTCTCTCTCTCTCTCTCTCCCTCTCTCTCTCTCTCTCTCTCTCTCTCTCTCTCTCTCTCTCCAGACTAATTGTGTACAACTGAGCCAACACTTGATAAAACCACTTAAAGGAGTCAGAAAAACACTCAAAAACCTGCTGAAGATGATGGGAGTTTGATCCAAAAAGGTTAATCCTGTGTTTCAGATGCAAACCGAGGAAGCCTGAGCAGAATCTCGATTTAGTTAACTCGCTCTCCTCTGCTTTTTACACGTTTCTGACGCAAGAGAGCTGCTGAGCTGCCAAGAAAAGAAACGTTTTAACATGCACGAATGCAAAGTTACCTTCACAGTTAACGCCTGCCCGGTCAAACCCAAACATGCATAACAAACAAAAAAAAAAGCATACATTTGTGCTTGTGCGGCGCTCACAGTCTCATGGGTGCCATCCGTCCTCACCTTAGGAGCCCATCTGGAAGAGTATAGGGTGAAATCCCACCGCCTCTCTGTAATTCATCACACCCCCTAAACTGTGGTGCTTGTAGGTCCCAACCCACAGTTCAGTTGTCACAGGAACACTCATCATCCTTGTACCTGGACGTTGATCTCAGAACAGATTTGTTGTATATTTATACTGGCATATGAAAAAAAAAGGAAAAATAGGATTTTAAGTGTTAAGTTTTCAACTCTACACAGTCCAGTTCCCTGATTTTGGAGTCTTCAAGAAAACCATGACCTGGATGAATGAGAATCTACATGGACGTTAAGTTTTCAAGTTTTAAGTTTTATCTGTAATACCATGTTCAGGACCGAGGGTTCCAGGCACACTTTGTGATCAGTGTAAGAAAGCATAGATTAAATTTATGCTAATAATCTGAGTAAGCGCTGTGACGAAAAGTAGGCGTCACTCCATCTTCAAGTTGGGTTGTTTGCTTTCTCACTGTGGAGTTTGAAGATATCAAGTATATCTACTGTGATGAAAAGTAAGAGACAGGGTGGGATTTTACTTTTTTTGGTATTGAACAGAAATTCTACGAACCTTAAAAAAGTTAAAGCTCCTGTGAGGAACTTTCATTTTGTGTCCCCTATGAAGAAAGCAGCCTTTACTTACCTTGCTTACCTGAAAAAAACAAAACATGTAGAATTTGCGATTGCAGTAGAGAAAAGTAAGATATCAGAATAAATGTAAATTGACAAAAATAAAGCCTTATATTCAAGCATGAATAAATTCTGGAGAATAAAGTCACTGTTGAAGTCCACGGTGAGCCTTTATTTTGTTTTGAAGGGGTGACACTGTGGTTTTAAGGGTTTTCCATAACAGCTGAAACCTATACAAGCCAATATCCCCCTTCAAAATAAAATGAACATCGACCAAAATTACAGATTCATTCCCACATAAAACCATTTCTTTCTCTTACAACTTCATTCTGATAAGTTTCGACTTTGTTCCTGCAGCAGATCTATCACCACTTTGGTCTTAAAATCTCAAGTATTATCATCTATAATTTGGACCTAATCTTCTGTTGTAGTCTATAATTGCTTCAGCAGCATATTTCAGCTACTTCTGTAAATGGTGTCTTAAATAATCATCTCAACAGTGTGAAGTCAATTAAATATTTTGAAGACAACATTGTTAGTATAATCTTCCTGTATTTCATCTCACAAACACAGACAGTGTTTTCTTTGCTGTGTCCAGATCTATTGTTCTCGTGTCCTCAGGTCGGTCTTCGCCGTCTCTTCTTGTTCTGCTGCGTTCAGCTCTATTTCAGATCCAATCAGAGTCACACTGAGCTCAAGGTCAGGCTCCTTTTATTACTCATTAAAGGTTTACTGTCACACAGAGGGACACAAAGTCATTAAAGTACTACTCTGTGCGTGAATGTGCGTGTGTGTGTGTGCAAGAAGAATACATTAGGTGTGTGAATATTCAGATTACATCTCTGGGTGCAGTATACTGGAGCAAATGGGTCATTTACACTGTAGTTGGATGTGTGATGGTAAGCTTATTAAGTCATTGTAAACACCAATATAATAGTAATTGCCTTTTATATTGACTGTATATTACGATAACTAAACAGTTTTCTGGTCCTTCAATTGGCAGCAGCTTAATCAGCTACATCAGAATACTTCAATCAAATGACCGACACACAAGTTTTGTGTTTTCTCTGTTTTAATCTACTGCAATTTTTAGAAATAATCATAATAATCAATGATATGAGTTAAATGTGTAGATCGAGACTCGTCTGACCGTCTGAATTCAGGGACTATTTGAGAGCTGTTGTGAAGGCCGTCATCCAGTTGCGTGTGGGCCAGCATAAAACTTATTTTTCTTCTGGATTCATGGTCCAAGAAGAATAATATTTGCCAGGATAAGATGACCAAAATACAAAAATGCAGGGACTAGTTTCAGCAAAACTGCAAGATGCAAAGAAAACAAGCCGAAGCACAGGGACAGATAATACACTGTATGGTAGACAGACAGGACGATAACTCGTGTTTTTGCCACAATGTCAACAGGCCGAAGTGAACTGGACTGGGACTCCTCCTCTCTGATTGATAAATTTGATATAACATGTGGGATCAGGATGTCCCTGGCATTGCTTTTTGCTCTTCAAAGTCATTGATCACCATTGTTTTAGAGTCTTACCTGAGCAGAATCAGGTTTTGTAGACTGTATAAAACACAGCTGTGAATGATGAAAGATCAAAGATGAAGGTTAGCACTTTGGACAAGCCGAATGACTTTTATCAAAGAGGGGGATTTGGAGCCATAGCTTTGATTCCTAGAAAACAACAAAAGCAAAACTGTCAGTCAAATCAGTGATTCCCTTAAATACTGATTTGTAGCCCTTTAATGAATGAATGAATTAAATTTATTCATTTCGAATATGTTCAAAAGAGAAAATTAAGAGTAAAAATACAGAATGATTTTACTAAGGAAAAAAAAGAACATACAACATATTCAAAAAGGAGTGGGAGGGAGTAAAACTTATCAAGTCCCGCCCCTTCTCCATCAGCTATTCTGTGAAAATTATTTCATATATAGTATATATATATAGCCAACATAATTCTTAATTTGGTGCGGTACCTTCTGTTTCATCCCCATATCTACTGAATATTACATTTTTAAAATTTCCTCATGTCTGAGCATTGCTTCAGGTCCAGCTGTAACCTGTTCCGTATATGAACACCACATCGTGAAACACAAAAACTTTTCATAGTTGTGCAATTTGATCAGGGATGAAATCAGACCAGATGAAAAATTCCCAAAGAATAATCAGTATGTTGAAAAAATAGAGGTATAGAGACTTAAACCAGTTTGTGAATCTGTAAACATGTTTAATACTGATGTAGAAACTTTTCATCAGACACTCGTTGAACTGCAGTCTGCACTCCAGCAGCGACTTCAAAGTTTGACGCCGGTGATAACAGCAGAAAAAAAAAGCAAACTCTGCCTTTTCTAGTCTGTTCCAGCTTCTTCTTCCTTTAGAAAATGTATGAAAAAATATTAAAAACCTCCCTCTGTTGGCTCTCCACGGGAACTTTTTCATGAAATTAAGAAAAAATAAGTTCCAGGCTTTCTGACTTATTTAATTGGCATTTAGTGAACTTTTGCTGTATCCGACTTTAAGACTATCTGATCTTCTGTTTTAAGACTCTTGAAGACACTGAAGTTAGAGGAGACAGGTCAGGATGGTGTGGGGCTGAGGTGTGTGTGTGTGTGGTGGTAGTGGTGAGGGGGGGCATGTTAACCAGCATGTTCAAAGAGCTGGTCTCTTCACTTCAGAGAGAATATTCCAGAACGATGAGAGAAGTGAGAGTTCAGCTCCAAGTGGGATTCGAGTGCAAACGAGTCGATGAAATTACACACAGCTTCAATTATACATCACAAAGGGTGAAAGTGCCCCACTGGATGGCAGGGGAGGAAATGTGGAAATGCTCTGGTAGTGTAATATCTGCCCGCACATGAGTGTATGAGTGTGTGTGTGTGTGTGTGTGTGTGTGTGCGCATGTGTGCGACACAACTCTCCTCTTCTCCGACTTTGAAGTTGTGACTTTGTGCGGGGCATAAGCCGAGAGCAGGAGGTGGGAAAACGGGAACTTTACCACCTGAGGGTTTGTGAGCGCACTCACAGGGGTTTGGCTTTTAGCATACTTCTGTGTAAATGGAAATTTGTGAAGCAAAACAGTTCAGAAAATATTCCGTCACCTGAACAGCCTCGCCGCTGCCCTTAAGCGTACTCATGTGTGAGAGTGTGCTTTTGTCCCCTCATACATGTGAGAACAGAAGCTGCATCTTTAACCTTCAGCGTCTTGCCCCCCCTTGAGTTTTTCTCGCCTCTGTGCGCATATTTTCACATCTTTTCATATATATTGTTATTGTTCTGCATGCATGAAAAAAAGGTTATTTTCTGTCTAAGATTGGCTTTCCCCATTTTTAAAGAGTTGTATGACATGGAGGAGCAAAATTCTGAAAATATAATTCTACTGGTCAAACTCTAGACCAATAGCATTTTGGTTCAAGTTGCACATAATCTCTAAAATCTTTAGCATGTCGTCAAACCCCTAAGATGCACTTCTTTCCTTTGATGACGATGAATGCAAAAAGTGCATCTTGCATTCTGACGCTCTTTTAGGAAAGCTGTAAAGTCAGATATCAGACTTATTTTGTTCTCAGCAAGGTTTAAGTCAACATAACTGTAAGTTTCACTCTTTGTGTCTGAGTCAAGGGTCAGTCAGTGATCAATGGGCCGGTGTGAGGAGAGGTGATGTCCAGCAGAGTCATTGCCACACTTCATCTTCTTGTTCTTCACCTGCCCCGCCACATGTCATGAACATTCACTCAGGTCATTTTTCACAAAATGTTCTTTCTTTTTTTTGTCTAAATCCAGAATCACACAAAGTTTTAATCTTTGTGCTCTTAACCCCTGTGGCTGCAAACTGATCTGACCACAAAGCTTTTCTAATTCACATTCTGGTTACTTCCTGGTCGGGCGAGTTAAGGGAAACTGCACCTGGGTGGGCAGTGTTTACAGTGTGGGGCTCCACAGCAACTAACGAAGTCCGATCATGTTGTTTGGTGTTACCTGAGATATTGGTTATTAGTCATGTTGGTAGCAGAGTTTTCAGTGGAGAACTTACTCCTGAATGATCATCAGCCATTTGTGTGTTTACGACTTATTAACTTATTAACTAATTAACTAATCGTTTACACTCACACATATTATGAAATGAAAAATAAGAACAAACACCACAAACAAAATCAACTCATGAAAATACCTCCCCTGAAACAATGAGGCAGCAGTATATATTGTTAAGTTACTAGCAAATAAAGCGATGTTGACTCTCTCTAAGAAACAGGAAACAGAAAACAAAAGCGGTCCTTAACAGCTACCCTGGGGTACTCCACACCTAACACGTCTCATTATTGGTCCTTTTCTATTTTAAATGTCTACGACTCATTTTTAAATGAATAATCCCTGATTATTGCTGTGGAGGTATTTATCAATTTGTTGTTGGTTCTTAATTTTTTCTCCTTTTGATAAAAATAACTTCTGAAATAATTACAGATCTTTACTTATATAGTGAAAAATTTCTCTTCAAATTCAAAACATGTCGGGCAAGTTTCTGATCATAAATGTTCTTCCTTGAGCTGCGTCACCCCGCAGCAGTTCGTAATGGACTGGCCTGAGGTCTCGGTACAAACAAGCGGCTGCTGGAAGACAGTAGGTGAGTTGTGTTTAGTCTCTTTGCTAAAGAAATTAGGCAAAGTTAAAAAGATGTTTGATGACTAGTACTGTGGCTAGGACCCTGTATGTACTGTTGATGAAGTTAGGTGCTGTTCTGAGCATTATTTGTGGCTATAGAGTGGCTTTTTGGTTGAGCATGTGGCTCTCTGTATTGCTAGCGTTTGGTCATTACTAAAGTTGGTATAACTAGAGAAGCTAGCGGTCGCCAACATTTATCTCTCGAGGGGGTGTCTAACTCAGAGTTACGGTGTGTTTGACCCGAACTTAAATTTACGCCTGAATATCCCTTTAACTAAATAACTCACCTTGCCATCTTTAATATCTTTAAATTTGTTTTAATAATATGTTGTTTTTCTTTTTGTTTTGTATTCCAAGTTTGTACCCTGCAACTTGTCATACCCCATAATAGTTTGTGTTACTTGAAAGTGTCATCTGAGCTCTTTCTAGTAAGTAGAAGTGACAGGAGAGCAGTAGTGTTTTGAACTTAATATATCAAAGATAAAGATTTGATTGTCCTGAATATTAATGAGGAAAGTTTCAGATTTTTCTCGTCTTTTGATCACTCCTCAAAGACTCTCTGCTCTGCCTCTCTGCTTCATTTGTGGGGTGGGGAGTGCATGTTGAGATGGCACCCTCCGAGGTCACTCTGCCCATTTGTCATCAGCCCTCCAGGCTTCCTGCAGCTTGTAAAGAGGTTGAGGTCGGCGTCCTTGTATCGCACAGTCCACAGCAGTGTCAGCAGGGCAGAGCAGATAAATGACCTGACAGCCCCACTGAATGTAACCTCCTGTTTAAAGGCCTGATAATGATCCTTCAAGCTTCTTTCATTTTCTGGTGCACTTTCCCTTCTTACGGCATTTCGTTGTCACTATAACTCTCATGAATCCCACCAAAGCTTTTGATCAGTTCAGCTGCATTCAGCTGCAAAGATAGTTTGATTGATTTGTTTTTTTACCAGAGTAAATATCCTGAATGAGTAACAAAGGTCTGATACTGAAGTGATTATTTTCGTAAAGATCAAAGTGAAGGGTTTAAATAAATAAATTGAGAAAGCTAATTTATTTTCCCCCTCTTTTCAGAGTAAAATTAATAGTTCAAAGAAGTTGAAAGATCCCCAACAAACTAGCAAATCATCTGAATCAACATTATGAGAGAGCTTTATGATGTTTTATTCTGACCTTTGTATTAAATGGACAAACCCCTTTAAAGCCTCTCTATCAATCTCAGTTTAGGATTTAATATTTTAATCCTTTTGTGATTGCAATGTTAATTTCAATTTGATATCAAACCAAAAGTAATGAAAAGAGCTGTACAAACACTTTTTGTTTTGAACAGATTTGAAGATTATTGAATTTGTACTTGAGAAATTTGACCTCGGAGATCCATGAGAGCCCACTTCAATAACTCTCCTGCTATTCCTGCTATGACCATAGGGGGGCAGTCCTGCATTTTCAGTACCAGCTCAGAAAAGCTGAGAATCTGCATCTGCACGCCTACTTCAATTCTACAAGATACAGAGAAGGCTACTAGAGAGCATATTTCCCCCAGAGATTGCTGACTTATTAAGGTGCAAATTACAAACACAGTGTTTGTGTTGAAAGAACACAATCCTGGTTTTGTAAAGTTAATGAATGTATGTGTCTCTATTTTTTGCTCTGTGTCTCTCCTCATCCTATTAAATGGTAAATGTTGTTTCCGAAAGGCTGCCACTCCCCCATACTGAGTTTTAATCATTGTTTGTAGTAGGAAGTCACCAATCTTTGAATGTGTGAGGGTGGGTGAGTGAGTGAGGGTGTTATTTTTTCAACTAACTACCAGAACAAAACTGGGAATGTACCCAGAAAGTTTTATCTTTCAATTACAATTTTCCCACATATTCTGAGATATGTGAGAGTAGATGTTAATGTGTGAGACGAAGATTTTAGGTTTTAAGAGGGCTTTCTTTGTTTCAGTTAGAGTAGACAGTTAAGGAAAGGACACATGGGGGGAAAAAGCAGAGGACTAATGCTTGGAATTGAACCCCAGATTGCGAGATCAAGGAAAGTCGCCTCTTTTCAGAGGACCCTGGTCTGCTAAGTTGTTTTGCCAGGAGCAGCTCAGACTGTATTGTCATCATCGTTTAATTTTCAACTTCATTATCATCATCATCATCATCATTTTTATCTTTATCATCATCAGCATCATCATCATCATCATTATTTTCAACTTCCTTATCATCATCATCATCATCATCATTTTTATCTTCATCAGCATCATCATTCTTTTCAACTTCCTTATCATCATCATCATCATCATCATCATCATCATCATCATTTTTATCTTCATAATCATCATCATAACCATCATCATTATTATTTTCAACTTCATTATCATCGTCATCATTTTTATCTTTATCATAATCAGCATCATCATCATCATTCTTTTTAACTTCCTTATCATCATCATTTTCATTATAATTATCATTTTTATCTCTGATTATTATCATAATCATCATCATAATCATCATCTTTAGTTTCATCTTTACAACCTTAATCCTTATTGTTATGGAAGTCATCGTAATCATCATTATCATAACTATCTCGAGCATATAAAAAATATTACCACCATCATAATCATCATCATTATCATCATTAGTGTTATCTTCATCATCATTATTTTTTATCATCATAATTACCCTCATCATTGATATAAATATCATCAACATTACAATAAATATCATCAGAATCAAATTATCATCATCTTTAGTTTCATTGTCATAACTTAATCCTCATTGTCATGAAAGTCATTCTTATCATCATCATCATTATAGTGACAAGCATATTAATAAATATCATCACCTCATAATCTTCATATTTATCAAAGTCATCATCATTCGGAAAAGTTTTACAGGCATATTATCTTTATTATATCAGCATCTTATTTACATCATTTTTAACAT